TCTGTCGAGTCGCTTCCAACTCATAGAGACTCTGTGTAGGGTTTTCAAGGAACGGCCAGTGGGCTTGAACCACAGATCTTGTGGTTAACAATCCAGTGCTTATCCTACAGAGTCTCAAAAGAGCATTTGTTAACAAGCTAATATGCAGATATGTCACTTTGAGAGGGAGGACACACCATCATAAAAATGAGCTTATAAGACAAATGTACTCAAAGGTTAAGGACAAAAGGAAAGTGATATGGGAAGGCCATCACCAGTTCCATCTTCATGGAGGTTTCAGGGTGAGCTCCTGGTCTGTGGGCTCATTCTGTGTTTGAGTGAGGGAAGGAAAGTAGATAGAGAACAAGGAAGTGGGCAGAGGTTGGAATTGGGGAGCTGAAATCCCTACTCTTTCCATATTCTGCTCGAGCCAGAATTGGCATTGCTTTGGAAAAAATTAACACAAGATATATGAACATATCTGGTCCATTTATACAGGATACATGTTTTAAGTGACTTCCCTTTCTTATTTGAAAGGAAGAAATCTAAAATTATTGTCTCATCAGCTCCTGTGCTCGGCAATCTCGGTCCTCCATACTCTGCCCCCAGTATGCTTTTCTATTGACTCATTTCTGCCTTCCATTTTCTCCAAGGCTACTTTTAATTAGATGCTAAATTGACAACAGAACCTACCAGAATTTTTACAACTCTATTTTGGAATACTTTCTCTTTTAGCACAGAGCAGGATGATCATATTCTCTTTTCTCTGTGCCTTTAAAAAAAAATTGTTTTAAAATATGCTTTATTGCTCATTTTAAGTCTTCACAATCAACTTGGACATACAGACAGATTTGAGGTGAGAAGCTAGACAAGTCTGCACACAATGTAGTTAACTTTAGCAGCTATGATTCTAAAGGATGAATTTCTTCCAGTTGTAGTAGAGGGTCAATTGCACAGAGAAAAAACCAGCTGTCTCATGTTAGTTCCTGATGTGACTTTTAACACAGATGCTCATGTTGCAAAATTTATTTCTTGTAAAGATGTGTTGTGAGAATATTATATCATCTTTCTTCCCCTCCCAAATCCCATATTCTTTCTAGGAAAATGAGAATGCTTTATGTTTTGGTTATTTAGCCTAATGTAACTATGTCCCAGCTAAATGCCAACTTTAATTTGATATTTTAGCTACTTAAAGGTTTCCTTCAATAACCGTATTGAACAAGGGATTATTCACAGCCCAACAGGATGGATCGGCGCTTAGTTCGCTTTACCCCGATATACACTCACTTGGGACAGGGCATGTGTAAACACTGAATTCTATCATGCATCCAGTAGGATTTCTTGTGAAATGTGATCAGGAGGGCTTACCTCATGCTAGCAGTTTGGTAGCAAAGTAAATGTTTATAATTACTTACTTAAGATTTCCGTTTATTTCTTAGCTACATACATTGTTGGTGTTGTGAAGTGCTGTCGAGTAGGTTCCAACTCATAGTAACCCTGTGCAGGGTTTCTGAGGAGCGGCTGGTGGGTTTGAACAGCCAACCTGTGGTTAGCAGTCCAGTGCTTATCCTACAGCACCACACCAGGACACCATGGTACATATAATGCCTGTAACGTACTTTAGGCTTGAGAGAATGAAATGATACAAAGTGAGGAGAGAAGAAAAGCTGGTGTTAGAGGCAGGTGCCCATTGTACTTTTGCTCTGACTTAGCATCTCTCTCAGAGCTAGCTCTTTCTTTGGAAATCTCCAGAGGACTTGTCCCATATCCTACATTTTTCTGAGGAAATCATGAGGTCATAGTTGTATTCCATGGATGGGACTACATTCAATGTTCTCTCTAAAGCCTATTTCACTACCAATAGTGAAATAGTAACTTTCATTTTTGTAAAAACTTGTAAGTGGTCTAATATTTATAAGAACACTACAATACCCCAAGTTCATCTTTTTCTGTCTCCAAGAAAATAAGAGGGCGGCTTTACTCAAGTACATTACCACGCTGGCTGGGTTACAGGCTTATCTGGAACACTGGCAAAGCTTTGCCGTTTGGCAGAAACGGGTGTCAATGGCTGACAAACAGTACTTAGGTTTGATTTTTAAGCTAACATTTATGTGAATATTTTATTATAGGAAAGATTGGAAAGCAAGTGCTGGCCTTCGCTCATTGTGTGGCAATACAACAAAGAATATGGTTGATCTTAACCTTTTCTTCTTCATTTTGGAGGAAAAGTTATACATTTCCAACTAGGTGACTATTAAACAGCAAAACTACTTGGCAGAATTCATTCAGAAGTGATTCTCCCCACCCCATTTAAAACACAGTGTGAGCAAAGGCTGAGCAAAAGATATACAACTTCCTTGGGTACCTTTTCTTGGCCTCACGCTTTTAGTTCTTGAGGACACAAGATACACTCAAAGAATCTGTTATACATTTCAAGATGTCTCATGACCCATGTGATGTTGAGTTTACTAAGAAATAAAACAAAAACAAAGAGAAACAGACTCAGCGCAGCTGGAGAAGAGGGAAGTAATGTGAGGTCATGGCTACACTTTGTCCACTGGTGTGTGAGTCATTCAGATGGAAGGTATCATACATGGACATCAGAGTAAGAGTTTATTCTCAAATACCACACATATGGACAAGAGACAGTGGGCTTCTTTGAGCAGCTAACTAATGCCTCCAGACAAGGACTGGGAAAACTACAATCTCCAAGAGCCAAATTGGGCCACTGCTTTGTTTGTAGTTATATGGCTGCTTTCGAGCCACAACCACAGAGCTGGGTAGTTGCATAGAGATTGTATTACCTACAAAGCCTGAGATATTTACTAGCTGGAAATTTACAGAAATGTTTGCTGTACTAGCTCTAGAGAACAGAGCTGGAAACTGGCTGTATTTATAAGAATTGTTGCTAAGTGGCATCAAGTCAGTTCCAACACATTGTAAATAAACCTGTATAGGATTTCTGAGGAGTAGCTGGTGGATTTGAATTGCCGACCTTGTGGTTAACAGTTCAGTGCTGATCCTACAATGCATACCTGGAGTCCCCATTATGCATGATCTCTTATAAAAAAGTGAGACAAACTGGGAAAGCCACTCATACAGGGCAGACACCATGTGACAAATGAGGCAGGAACACTGGGCTACCAGCAGTTACTAGTAGCTAAGAGAAACAAAGAAGGACCTTTACCTAAAGCTCAACTCCTGAATTCAGACTTCTAACCTCCTGAAATGTGAGAAAATATATTTCTATTCTGAAAAACCACCCACTTGTGTTAACTTTTATTCTGCTATTACTAGCAAACTAAGACATTTCTCTAAGTACATTCAGATAAATTCTTCAAGTCTGCTTTACATAATTAATTAATCATAGAAGAGTTCCAGTAAGGTCCAAATACCATGACTGAAACCTGTGTGTTGAGAGAGAGGGGAGAAGGTGGGGAGTAAATGATTCTTCACCTTTGAGGACCTTTGAGAGTCTGAATGATAACTGAAGGAGATGATTTTCTCTCAAGTTCTTGGTATGTTCTGTACTCTTGGGCTCCTTTTATGTAGCAGATGGTTTAAAAATCCATGAATTTTAGATTAGGTTAGTGTTAAAGCTTAATGCTTAGATTTATACAACTTCATAGTCAGTTTCTGGTAAAAAGTACATTAATGTCAAAGCAAAGACTTTGAAAAGGAAAGATAGGCAGAAGATGCGGTCAAATTTCAGAACCTTGGGAAGTCAATGAGCTACAGGGAGCAAGTTACATGTGCCAGGACATTGTGTTTCTCTGCACTTTACCTTCCTCTTTTCTGTTGATTTAGGCACCCTAATTTCCCTCTGGGGAACCACTGCTCTTCAACTCTCAGTCCATGGGGCTCAGGTGATGCTCACCTCACCCTAGCTCTGTGGTAGGCACATGACTCCATAGCTCTAGTCACAATGATTGGTTTAGAGGCAGATGCATGATTCAACTAGCCAATAGGAATTAGCCCTTGGACATTTGTTGAAATGACTGGAAATAAAGCCCTCTTTCAGATGGAAGGAACTAAGGATATGTAAGCCAGAAGCTGCCAGGGGCCATCTTTGTTGCTACTTTGTGAGTTGGAGCCTAAGAATAAAATGATACAGGGGATTGTGGGAGACACCAGAAAAGGGAGGGGAATTAGAGGTTGAAACAGGGAAGGAGAGCAGACAGATCTATCTGTCTATCTATCTATCTATCTATCTATCTATCTATCTATCTATCTATCTATCTATCTATCTATCTAGATAAAGATAGAGAGAGAAACTTGAGTCTTGACAACATAATTTGGGCTAGGAGCCAAATGAAGGAATCTTCTGTTGGAATTTCACTTCCATTAGTTTAGCTAATGTGATTTAGGTTTCTGTTAGTTGGATTTGAAAAGAGTATATGCTAAGAACATTTTTCTACTGTCAGTAATTTAGCCTTTACTAACAGATATTTCATTCCAATTGTGGACCTGAACAAATGTATGGGACTCACAAACATATCTTCCATCTAAGGAAGGGCAGGACTGAAACCACGTCAGCATTACATTTCTTAACTCTAGTCTTATAGATATCCAAGAATGGAATTCTACCATTAAACTTATGTAAAATGTTTGTAAGTTTTGTTAGGGAATTTATTCTTATTTTAAAATGATACCACAAGAAGATATTTTTGTTTTCTTAGTTGCATTCATGGTATTAACTTTCCCGGAACTTGTCCAAAATATCACTTGTTGAGGTTTTATTTTTTTGTTGAGATGTTGTTCTACAGCATTAATATGCTTTTGGGCCAATTTCAAGTTCTAATAAATTATGCATATCAGATTTCTTTTTATTCAAACACTTTCCCCCTTTTGTTTTTTGACTCTCAAGATGTCTATTTCTGCCTGTAGTGCTGTGGTCAATCTGCTGGAGAGTTATTCTGTGATGTTTATGCATTAAACAAGCAGTATTTCCATCTGATGCTTTTACCTACAGGGACAGAGCAAGTACCATATATTTACAGCTCCTATGTCAAATTCCTCACCAGTTGTGTAACTCAGCAAAGGCAGCTTTGATCTTCTTCACGGAACTGTCCACTTCTTCTTTAATCATGACCCGATATCTGGTTAGAGACACAGTGCAGCGTTGCAAGTCCTTCACTGATTTCTCAATATTTGGCCCTGAAATTAATGTTAAGGAAAAAAAAAAGTTAAATTCAGCACTTTATCTTTTCACTTATGACCAAAACAACAAAACAAAGCAACTGACTCACCAGAAAAGAGAGTTTGTTTTTCAGCTTTCAATGAAAATAAAAACCAAAAAAATTCTGCCAAGAGGATGGAGGATGTTGATAACATAGAGGTTTTTTGTTTTTTTTTTAACCCAGAGTGGGTCTTTGTCTGGACCCTGAGACTGCTGTTTCCCCAGTGGTCCTCTCTGGCTTAGCTGTTTGGGGCATACTTATCACCTTTGCTCCCTTCAAGAGGCTCTGATTGTAACATTCGATCATAAACTTCAGTCTCTTAGAATCTGATATACTAAAGGCTGTGTGGCTGGCTCATTCTGTTAGCATCACTCTGCATGGGTAAAAACAATCAGGCCTTCTGGAAAAGCAAAATGACTTAGAGAGTGAGAGAGGCACAAATGAGCCCGAGAGAGGATGGAGCAACAGCACGAGGTATGCAGGCTCTGGACGCACCAGTCCTGGGTCAGGCCTGTAATTATATCATCAGCAATTAAGGCAGCTCTGTGGGAGCCAATCTTTCCCAATTTCCTGAAACTGTCACCAGGGTTTACAGACAGCGCAGAGCAAATAGTCAACTTGTTCTTATCCAACATGGCCATGTTTCTTAGAAGAAAAAATTTCTCTCTCAAGAAAAGTGAGAAAGTATATCAAACCAAAGCCAAAGAAAATCAGATACAATTGAGGGTGAATGAGAAGAATACTGTTTAACCTTCTGAGAATCAGAGAGATGATTTCACTCCTTTCATTTTTAATACCAGTTATGTATAATGGATCACAAAGCTCAAACTATAATAAAGACAGTGTCTAATATAAAACCCTCTTTCCGTGTTACAGTGTCTGAAAGCTGGAACACAGAACTGAATTTACACAGGGAAGATCAGATCTGAAGGACACAGAGGAGTATCCAGACTCATCTTCAACCCAACGTCAGGTAAGAATTTATACTTAACAAACAACATTGGGCCATTTTAGCATTTCCATTTCTAAGAGATCCTGTATCAATGTTGTCTTTATAAGATATTAAGGTGGAAGGTTTTCGGGATATGGGTTTATCGATGTCTACAAAGAGAAGAACAGCCACAGAGGGAGAGGTAAAAGGAACGTAATCCTAACAAAACCAGTTGTGAGTCGACTTGACTCCCGGTATTCCTACGTGTGTCAGAGTAGAACTGTGCTCCATAGAGTTTTCAATGGCTAATTGTTCAGAAGCAGGTCACCAGGTCTTTATTCCAAGGCACTTCTGGGTGAACTCAAACCTCTAACCTTGCAGTGAGCAACTAAGCAAATTCACCATTTGCACCAGCAAGGACTCCATGAGGTGGAGTCGACTAGATGACATCTGGTTTAAAGGGATTGTAGTTCCACATAAACATTAATTAATGTAAAAGGAGTCAAATCTACCTTTCAATCTATCTATTTCATTCTACATGGGTCGCAGAAATAAATGCAAATTCATTTGCCTCTCTTCATTAAATAGCATCTATGGGAAAATTCTGCCAGTTGGTCACTTTTCTGTGTGTGCAAATTATGTTCAAGCATTTGTGCAAAAGAAATCACATTACCTCTTTTCTTTGCCAACTCATCTGGCTTTATTTCAACATGAGCTGCAGGGACATTGGACTTAACAGGAGATGTTTTTGCCTTAGGCTTGCTTGGGTTACAAGGTTGCTCAGCTGACCACTGTAGGCCATCTGACCTCTCTGTGGTTCCATGCAAAGGTTTGGGGTTGTCATCTAAGGATAGTTTCTGTTGCAGTGGTCTGTTGTCTTCTGTAAGAAAACACCAAATAATGGCTGTGAAATGATAAACTAAAAACACTGACATAGAGTGATGGATGATAGCAAGAGTTTTGTTTATTTACGTAATGTCAATAATGCCTTTTATTGTTAACAGTAAAGAAACTGTTTTACTAAAAATCTCCCACTAGTTTAGAGGATGTACTTGAAAGAGCCTTATATTTGAAGTAGGAAGACCTGGGTTTGAGTTCTGGCTCTGGTAACTTCTTGCAGCGGCTTCCTGGACAAGCCACTTCCCATCTCTGAGCCTTACTTTTCACACCAACAACTACCCAGCAAGATTGCTGAGATGCTCATATGAGATAAGCAGACTTTTTTTTTTTTTTTCTTCTATTTCCAGTAAAGACTTAGGTATTTTTAAGTAAGACTTATTATAGAAGTGATAAAAATCTAGACCTCCTATCTCCAATTGCTACATTAATGACTCATGATATTTTATTCTGAATTAGTGAAGGCAGCAGAGAGATAGGGCAAGAATGAAGGAACAACAGGTCCTATAATCATTCTATCAAGTTTATGAAGGGCTTAAATCAGAAAACATCATCATTATATTTCAAATATATTTAAAATCCAGGGAGTCACATTTTCTCTGGAGCTGTAATAGATGTGGCAATAAATTAGCAGCACACTTCTCTCAGCGTCTTAAAAAGGTAAGTCCCTATTTAGTTATTGCTGGAGTGAATTAAATGGTACCTTAGAGGCCTGAGAAGGAGATTTGTCAGCCTTACATCTTAGTTACTACCAGAGAGAGATTTGGGCAGGGAAAAAAAGGGAATGCCACATGCTTCTGAAGACTAGCTGGGCTTAGTGGAAAAAGTGCATGCAAGTTTGGATTTGGGAGATCTACGTTCTGATGTTCCTTATGTCCTGGCTGACCTTGGGGGTTCCATTTCATTTCTCTAATGTTTTGTGGATTATACTCAATCATTTATTATCTCTATATCAAGAAAATATAACATATACTTTATGGCTGAATAATGAATAGGTAGATTCTAAATTTTACTTAAAGGGAAATTATAGTACTTATGAAATGTTTAACAAAGGTGGTGAACACAGTAAATAATGTTATTCCCATTGCTGGAAATAACAATTCCTCTAGCAATGAGAGAGCTCTTACTGGTGGTACACAAGCAATTATCAATGAAACTTGACTATATGGTCTTCCCACCATCACTGAGGAGATGCCAACTTTAGCAACCCTATAGGACAGAGCAGAAATGCTGTAAAGCTTTCTTCCTCAAAGTGGCTGGTGGACTTGAACTTTTGACCTTTCTGTTAGTAGCCCAATGCTTACCGTTAGTACACCAAGGTCAAATGTTAGTGTGCAGAAGCCCCCTTAGTACTTATCATAAATGAGAATTCCCAGACAGAATCTCCAGGATTCTGCTCCCCAGGGGATCCTTGTGGAGTAGAGATGGATGGTACCACCCACATTGAGAAACTCTGTTGTGAAAGGTGGTTTTATAAAGACTCTATAAAGGCTCTTGCTAAAACACTGATTAAGTCCAGGATGGTTCCAGCTCATTTCTTGTCTAAATCACAGTTGAAATTCAATCTTGATGAGATATATTATAAATAGAGACTCTAAAATGCAATTCATTGAGCACAGTGCAGAAAATTAGCTTTAGTCTTAAAAATAAAGGGATCTGTATTGTAGTATAATTTTAATGAAGACCTTCCAACACTTGTTTGGAGTCCTGGTGTGGTGCTACATGACAAGCAATGGACTTCTTATCACAATGTCAGTGGTTCAAATCCAACAGCCACTCCTCAGAAACCCTAAAGGGTCAGCATTAGTTGGAACTGACTGGATGACAGTTAACAACAACAATAATAACCACTCATCTCTCAGTTTGTCATTCCATCGTGGCTTGTATGTTACTGTGAAGCTAGAAGCTACAACACCTGAATTTTAATACCAACAGGGTCATTTCTGGTGGACCAGTTTCAGCAGAGCTTCCAGACTCAAACAAACTAGAATGAAGGCAAGCTGGACCACTGCTGAATGGCCACGTACTAAAAAGACTACGAATAGCAGCAGAACACTGACAGATACAGTGTAGTAAGATGAGCCACTCACGTTGGAAGGCACTCAAATAAAATACAAAGGGGAAGAGCCAACTCCTCAAAGTAGACTTGACTTAATGACGGGGATGGAGTACAGCTTTCAAGACCTTCATTTGCTGATGGGCATAACTCCAAATGAGAAGAAACCACCTCAAACATCTACTCTAACCAGAACATAGAATATACAAAGTATGAATCTAGGAAAATTGGAAGTCATGAAAAATGAAAAGGAACAAATAAACATCAGTATCTTAGGCATCAGTGAGATGAAATGACTGGTTCTGGGTACTTTGAATTGGACAATCATATGGTTTACTATATTGGGAATAACAAATTGAAGAGGAATGGCGTCCTACTCATCATCAAAGTGAGCATTTCAAGATCTAGCTTGAAATATAGTGCTGTTGGTGATAATATCCATATGTCTATAAAGAAGACCAGTTAATAGCACTATTATTTAAATGTATACACCAACCACTAAAGCTAGTGATGATGAAATTGAAGAATTATAACAACTTCTTCAGTCTGCAATCAATCAAATATTCAATCAAGATTTATTGATAATGACTGGTGACTGGAAGGTGAATTTGAAAACAAAGAGGAAGGATCTATAGTTGGAAAATACAACCTAGAAATGATGTTAAAGAAAAGATCAAAATGGATGCCAGAAAAGACTCTGAAACTTGCTCTTGAATGTAGAAAAGTTAAAGCAACTGGAAGAAATGGGGAAGTAAAAAAGCTGAACAGAAAACTTCAAAGGGCAGTTTGAGAAGGCAAAGTCAAATATTATATTGAAACATATAAAGATGTTGAGTTAGAAAACCAAAAGATAATAAAATGCCCTGTATTTCTCAAGCAGAAAGAACTGAAGAATAAAAACCAAGCATTGACTTGCAATATTGAAGGATTTGGTTATGAATCTAGTTGCTAATCTCAAGGTCAGCAGTTCAAAACTAACAGCAGTTCTGCTGGAGAAAGATAGGGCTTTCTGCTCCCGTAAAAATTTACAGCCTCGGAACCCTATACAGGGTTGCTATAAGTCAGAACCAACTCCATAGCACATAACCATCACCATTACCATGGGCAAAATAGAGCCAACATAGTTCTGGTGTGGCACTGTAGGATAAGCTCTGGACTGCTAACCACAAAGTCGGAGGTTCAAACCCACTAACTGCTCCTTGGAAACTTTATATGGGGTCATACAAGTTGGAACCACCTCCACAGCATTTAACAACAAAAACAACAACATGGGCAAAACACTGAATAATGCAGGAAGATCAAAAGATGGTAGGAATACCGAGAGTTACTATACCAAAAAGAATTAGTCAGTGTTCTATCATTTCAAGAGGTTCCATACGATCAAGAACCGATGGCAATTAAGGCATTTGTGAAAAACAAAGCTCGAGGAACTGATGGAATACCAAATGAAATGTTTCAACAAACTGATGCAGCATTTGGGGCCTTCCCTCATCTTTGTCAAGGAATTATGAAGACAGCTAGCTACCTGGCCAGTAGATTGGAATTTATGTCCATTCCAAATAGTAATCCAACTGAATGTGGAAGTAATAGAACAGTATCATTAATATTGCATGCAAGTAAAATTTTGCTTAACATAATTCAAAAACAGTTTCAGTAGTACATTGAAAAGGAGCTTCCAGAAATTCAAGCAGGAGTCAGAAGAGGATGTGGAACTAGGGATATCACTGCTGACATCAGATGGATCTTGGCTGAAAGCAGAGACTATCATAAAGATGTTTACTTGGGGTTTATTGACTATGCAAAGGTTTTCAACTCTGTGGACCATGACAAATTATGGATAACATTGTGAAGAATGGGACTTCCAGAACACTTAACTGTGCTCATGAACCTGTACATAGACCAAGAGGCAGTTGTTGGAACAGAACAAGTGTCTGGATTGTGAACACTTGTGATTGGAATATGAATGCAAACAATGAAAAGTTTAAAATCAGGAAAGGTGTGCACCAGGGTTGTATCTTTTCACTATACTTATTCAGTCTGTGTGCTGAACAAATAATCAGAGAAGCTGGATTATATAAAAACGACTGTGGCATCAGGATTTGAGGAAGATTCATTAGCAACCTAAGATATGCAGATGATACAACCTTGCTTGATGGAATAAACAGGGAGAAGACTGAAGTTGTCAAAGACTTCATCTTGCTTGGATCCACAATCAATGCTCATGAAAGCATCAGTAAAGAAATAAGACATTGTATTGCATTTGGCATATTAGCTGGAAAAGAACTCTTTGGAGTACTAAAGAGCAAAGATATCACTCTGAAGACTACGGTGTGCCTGATGGAAGCCATGTGTTTTCAACTGCTTCATATGCAAGTGAAAGTTGAACAATAAATAAGGAAGACCATAGAAGAATTGATGCATTTGAACATGATATTGGAGAAGAATGGACACAGTGGCACCACCAATGGGCTCCAATCTAACAATTGTGAATATGGCGCAGGACCTGGCAGTGTTTTGTTCTGTTGTGCATATGGTTGTCATGAGTTGGAACCAACTTGACGGAACTTAACAGCAACAACAATGTTAATAAAGACCTTAGAAAAGATAAAACTAATTATTATGTTGAAGTTCAAAAAAACATTTCACATGGATGAGAAACATGCAAAGGAGCATGAGTTCATTAATCTAGAGCTGAAATATTTGTGTGTGTGTGTCAGAGAACTGATGTGTGGACTGTTGATTGATTTCATCATTTATTCAACAGATATTGAGAAATATGAGTAGCAGTATTTTCTTAGGATCCAAAAAATGGTCTGCTAATTGGTGGAATCATTGAGCACTAAAAAGGTTTTGAAATTCTCAAAGATTACTTGAACATATTTGCACACTGGATGTACATATCTGCCTCCAGCAACAGGAAAAATCTG